TTATATTAAGATGGTCCCAGATGAACATGTTGTCGGTAGCAGCGCCCCAAATACTAGGAAGCGCTGAGAGACGAATGAGATGAGCGCTCGCAGCGCTAATGTTCATCGTAATCATAAACTTATCAACGTTGAAAAAATCGAATGAGAAGAAAAAGTGGGAAGCGTTTTGAAAAGAGCACTTTGAGACTAGACTGAGCCAGAAAGAGTCTTGAGGCTCCCTTGGGCTCAAGCCTAAGGATTCTCAGCTGTGAGGAAGCGCATAGCATAGCTCGCCACATCTAAGTTTCTTCTTTGGTAGTACTTATGCTGACCGCCTTCAACACGAACCAGTGATACATTCCTCGACCAAGGGCAGTGCCAATCTAGATACTTAAAACGTCCTTCGAAACGGTTCGTACGATTGAAAGTTTTGTCACAACCCATCCTATTTGCCCATCTTGCCATACTGGCTCTGACAGGAGGAAAAGGATAAACCCAGGCGCCGCCCCACGGGACATAATCATCCTCAGTGCCATGGATGTGGGCTATTCTCTTATCATCAGTAGAATTGAAGATTGCATCACAGGCGCGGAAAGCAGCTGTTTTTCTCTCTAGAACAAGAACCCCAGCGATTGAGACAACTCTTGAGACAATGTTGTGACACATTAGAGTTTCGGCCAGCATAGCACCATTACTGTACCCGACAGCGTAGACTGGGGCCCAGTCGGGCAAGTTCCAGCGAGGATCCTTGAGCATAGCTTGAATGAACTCCGTGTCGTTGACAGCTGAAGTGGCATGACAGCAAGAACCTGCGTTCCAGCTCTTCATATACAATGCATTTTCCACTCCACAAGGAGTGAACATTATGAACCTGTACTCGAGAGCATAGTCGATCAGACGGCTTCCATACTTCCAGGACTCGCATGTGCAGCCCATACAATGAAGATTCAGAAGGATGAAGCGAGCCGTGATGTTGACGGGGTAATAGATCCAGTAAGATCTATTGCCTTCTGGGCGAGAGATGTTAAACATAGCATCCACACCATACCTCTCTCCGAGCCTCCGTTCACCATTGGCTGTATCGTCTTGGGCCAGCTCTCTTTTTTCATCTTTGGATGAGTCTTTCTCACAAACAAAGGTTGTACCATTCCAGTTGACATGTATCGCATCAGCTGACTCATCATATTGAAGGGCAGACCATTGCTGAGAGGGTAGTTTATACTTTCGGAAGAACTCGTTCATATCCGTATCATGAG